AAACTAACTAAACAGCAGACAAGCTTATAGGAAATCTGAGTCAGAGCAAGGGGGTTTCTACCACCTTCCTATCACAAGAATAAACGCCCGAACTTTGTGCAAATTTTCAGTCTATGTGTTGTTGAGAGGAGTTGCAAAAGTCACAATGTCAAAGTCCATTGATCACATCCTTCTTTCAGCATAAGTGGGGCACAGAAAAAACCCAGGCTGCTCCTGGCGGCTTTTGAACATTCAGCTGCTTCTCTGATGTGGCAGGTACCAAAGCACCTTATAAGCACTTATACCTTCTATAGCCATCCTTACTATCCTAGCATTTGGAAGAAACACCGTTGTGGTCTTCAGAGTGACTGCTCAAATCAGCAAATGTTTCAAAAACTGCCTATGGTTTAGCCAGTCTAACCTACAACATCTTGAAGTTGTTCTGGATGTTAACTGCTTGTTAAATTTCTTTGAGAAAATACAGAGTGTACAAATTAATCTTATTATTTTCCTGGATGTTGTCAGTATGATGGAATTTTCAATTTTCTATTAAAAAACAAGCAAACAAAAAAGAATAGGGATCAGAACACCTTGGACACGGCATATCTAAACTCTCTTGCCACTTTAAGACAATGACATTTTACAGGTTGGAAGGAGAGGAGTAACAGAACAGAAATTAATGCACAACCCTTAGGTTGGATTTTTTTTTTGAAGTGAGACAATATACAGGAAACAGTGATCCAGCGTAGTTATACTGAAACTTAAAAATACATTTATTCATTGTTTATAATATCTACCAAACACAAAGAGCAGCAGTTGCATGCTTTGCACTATGATATCCTCAAGAAGTGTAGAGACCTAGAAGAAAAAAGCAAATTCAGACTGTGGGATCAAGAGTGAGTATAGGCTTTCTGAAGATGAAGACAAATTTTCAATATATCCAAATCCTCCAGGGGACCTACCCATCAAGAGGCTGATAAAGCATCTGGGAATAGCATGTACGCTCCCAAAGGGATGTGCAAGACTTTTAAATGATGACGGGATGCAGCTTTCCCATAACTGTCAATGAACAGGGAGGCAGAGAACTATATTACCTGCATGAGAGAATGAGTAATGCATAGGAAGGGCCCAGCGGTCTAGGCCAATTTCAGGAGCGTGAGGGAGCACAAAGTATAACTTCTCTATATGAAGGGATGCTGGGTGGAAACTGTTGACTGCAGTGATGGCACTTTAAACTCTGTGTTTGTATCAGCATGGAGTGTGGGATGTTGGGATCAAAGCAGTATCTAATGGTGTCATCAGATTCAAATCAACTAAGATGGTTCTGTGGGAGGAAGGAAAATAAGATTCAGTTTTGAAACTGCCTTCTCATGTAATTATTTTTTGTTTTTTTTTTGTTTCTGTTGGTTGGTTAGTAATTTACTTGAAAGAATCCTGAGTATAAGCATTTCCTAGTCTTACAGGAATTACAATACACTGAAGCACTATTTGAAGAGAACATGCCATACCGAGTTTGCAGCCCTTTGAGGTAGGGCCTATGCACTCTTCTCATCCATCTCAAATAGAACTGCAATTTATTTCTTTATGATTGTTTGCAGTGGCTTTAAAATTTGGGCTTTCTATTTGCCTTACTGTACAATACCACAAAACGGTTTTGTTCACGACAGTCTATATTTACACACCTTATGTTTGCTCAGCACTATAAAGCAACAATTTGAAAACAAGCAGCTACAGCATTTATTACATTCTCCGGGTGATCAAAGCCAGTCAGCTTTTGGCCTCATGCCGTAACACAACCGGTTACCTTCAGAAAGAGCCCCCCCCAGTGCACAGGTTGTCATCATATCGTGACAGCCAATTATCCAGTTACACGTGTGGCACACAGTTAAGACCATAGGAGATGCCAATGAAAAAAATAGAAAAGCACACAGAAGTTTTAGATAAACAGTGCTGAAAAGCATAACAAACTGGATGGATTTTTTACAATTAATCTGTCTCACTCCTTTCCGTTTCATTATACAAGACCATTATCCAGACAAATAAATGAGCTCCAAAAATGCATGTAATTAAGCATCATAGCTGAAAGATTGATGATGGGAACTCTCTCTCTCTCACGCTCTGTTAACTGGCAATGCCAATATGTGACTAATAATGCAATCTGATTTAACATTATTAAAATAGAGAAGATAATATGCTAGTTTTGTTGTTTTCTACAGTAGTTCACTACCACTATATGATATAGTAAGGAGTTTTAGAAGTGTGTGTATATAATCCTCCACCCAGAACCTTCCAATAAACAAAACAGCTTTCCTATAAAACATTTTTGCAATGAAATACCCATTGATTCGAAAGTTAAAAACCGAGCTAATTAAAACATTTTTAAATTGGCATCCTCAAACTTGTCAATTCTATTTAATAAACTGCTGTTGCCCTCTAGCGTTCAAACACAGTTTGTAAATGCCCCTCCAGAAAGATCCAAACTGGTCACCTAACAATTCCCCCTTTGTTCTTAATCCAACAAGACAAATGGATGGCAAAAAAAAAGACAAGTGTTTCAGTACACCTGCCTAATACCTACTTTTCTTTGCTCAAGTATAAAAAAGGATTTTTAATGTAAGAACATTTAAAGTTGTTTCACTCAAAAAGTGTGAAAGGCCACTCAGCTCAGCATCCTCACCAAATTAGTCATGGTACCCATGCATCTCTCTGCTTTACTTCTGCCATTCACCGTGCTTGATGCACATTGCTGTTTGGATTGACGGGCAACGTTTCTACCAATATTAGTCAAATACATATCCAGTGCTCTGAACAACCTGAGATATATCTGCCTGCCTTCTCTTGAACATCTCTACTTACCGTATCGTATCAACTAATAACAACCATCTCTCCCTCCAACAAATTACTAATTACAGCAGAAATGCAGTGAGGATTCAGGGATTGTTCTCAGCACCTCTCCTACAATAAGCTGCCATGATGGCAGCAGCAACATAGAAGGCTTCTCACAAAGCTGTAGTTCTTTTGAGAGAAAATTATGGTCAACCTCAGGTCTGTACCTGCATTTATACATCCCACAATTGGGCCTAGTACTTATCATTTTATTAACTCATTCCCAAGAAATGTTGTTCCCCCCTCCCCGTCACATTCCTTGACCAGAAACCTTTGAAAATAGCTATTAAAAAAAAAAACCCAGGTTAAACAAAGTGCAGTCCACAGATAAGCTGATGAACTTCAGTTACTTTTTTTTGGTAATATTGTTCACTTTTAAGAGGTTATCCAAAATGTTTTTAAGTATTGTCAGACTTAAGCAATGTAGAAGACCGGCTGGTTTTGCATCTATAAAGCAATTTGCAGCCCCCATATAGTAAGAATTCAACTACTTGACGTAAGGAACACTGACTTTTCTTTGATCTTTAAATAATGGAATTTTCTGCATAAAGTTATTGTTAGAGCTCTCAGAAAACTCGCCTTGAGGCCATTTTTGGATCATGCCTGCTTCCCACCACACTAAGCTTGACAGATCTAAGAACCTCTTGGACGTGAGTCACGTTTCATATTTTGTAATGGAATTATTTCCTTGTATTCACAAGGCACCCTTCCTTCTCTGGCTTCATTTTTTTTTGTTGATTATGCTGCCTGCCACATGGATACTTTGAAATCTAGTCTTTGATTCTAAAAACAGGCTTAGACTGGGTGTATGTGAAGGGAAATGTGAGTAATGTGAACTAGAAGTTGCGTAGTGAGCAGTAGGTGCTCATACGTACTCTCACTCATCTCTTGTTGCAAAAGCAGGGAACCATACGGAACAACTATGCTTATTACCAGTCACACGAAGATGACCCTAGAAGTGAAGAGGGTGTGCTTTGAGAGCTGATAAGAGCTCTGTGTGTCAGGATGGACAGCAAGTCCAGCACCGTTGCAAGCAGCTCTTTCAAGAGCCACCAGCCTGGTAAGGGAAGCAGAACGTCAGAACCATGAAGATAGTACAACCTTGCTCATCCGCTCCTGCTGACTGTAGGAAACTTCTTTGAGGTTGGCACCCTCCTGCAACATAGCCACCATCTTCCTTTAAAACTTTTTAACCTCCCTTTAGATGTTCAGCAAATGGAGACCACACCTTTCTGTGTGTCTTCTGCCAGCTGTTGTCTTCGCTAAGCCCCCTCAGACATTTCTGCCTGCTCCGCTGTCAGGTGTTGAGTTTCAACTGTTAGGGATTTAGATGTATTAGAATAGATTCTCTCTTGTGCATATGCCAAGTCACTTGGTCATACCGTTTGTTATGGAAGAGCTTGATTACAGCTTGCTTCACTTTGATATGATAAAAACTCTTCTGTCTCTGACACGTATTGCAAAAAAACAATGTGCTACAGGGTGGCGAGCTCTTTGGAAAGGGCAAACTCATATTTGCAGCATGTGGTTTTAAGGATACATTGTGATATATGCAGAAAACCCCATTAAAGACACATATACATCCATAAACTATATGTAGCTAAGGAAAATTGAGCTATGTTATGTGTACTACAATTTTTACTGTTTGTACCTAAAACCATTTGGACGCAAAGCTCTACTATTAAGTACTTCTTTAAGGCTACAAATAGAGTAAATAGGATTGCCAGACAATCATGTAACATTATGGCATCTGGTGCAAATAGCACTGAAAACGCTCATGCGCTGTACAGGTACTCAATTTATTAGGTGTACTTCTATTCCATTAATCTTGTCACAGTACAGATTAAGCTCTTGAAATGCTTTTTCTCCTTAAATATAAGACCTTCTTAGCTTAACTTGGATTTCAGTATTTATTTTCAGGATTTAGTAATAAATCAAAAATGATAGACATTATAGTTCAGCATAGAAAGAGCAGTTCTCTTCCCCACCAAAGCACCAAAGCCACCTGCCACTTCCCCATTAGTGGCCAAAAAAGGAAACCATACTCTTCTGAGATTTCAATATCTACTGTTCCTTTTCAGAGTTTTCCTCTCAAAGATGAGAGGTGCTCCTCACAATCTTATTCCCCCTCCCCATCATACATCAGCATACATTCCATTGATCAAGTAATCCAGCCTGGTATAGTGCCTCTTCTGAAGAGATTCATGTATTTTCTTCCCCGTCAGTGCAATAACTAGGAAGAAGAATGTCACCCCAAAAAGCAAAGCTGCTATAAGGCTGCTTTTTTCTCCCAGCTGAACGACACCTCTCAGAACACTCTCTGGCAGGTAGCTTTCTGAATCAGACGGGTCATAACCCTGAGGGTTGTTTTGGGAAGCCACGGGGGAATCACTAGTAGACAGAGCAAAACCCGAAAAAGAGAGGAGGGTGACATGGCTGGTATCGTTGTAAGAGACAACCGTTGGCTCAGGAGGGATGGCCGGAGTTCCTAGTCCTGACAGCGTGGTAGCAGGTCTAGAATTCATGGTCATCCGCTTGGTTGTGGAAGTAGAAGCAGAAGTTATGGGACTGGAAAGAGGAGCAGGAGTAACAGCAATGGTGGTGGCAGGGAAGCCAGGTTGAGCTCCAGCGGTCGCAGTAGGCGGAAAGGTAGCTCTGGTGGTGGTGACGGCAGTAGGTTCAGCACCACCAGTAGGCAGAGAGGTTGTACGAGATTCCAGTCGTTTGGTACCTGTAGACAGAGGAGTAAGAGCAGTACTGCTGGGTTCAGTAACCCTAGACTGAATGGTGGGGAACGAAGCAGAGGGGTCTCCAATTCGAACAGCAGAAAACGTATTTGGCGTCAGGTTAATTACTTTCTGCCTTGAGGTGGGGTCTAAGCTCTCAGGATGTTTTGTCCTTTGAGATTCAGGAAAAACTGTATGAAATTCACTGCTGTCTAAGTGCTTGCCCATGTTGTTCAGGAGTTCAGATGCCTGATGAAAGACAGATTGTTGCAAAGTAGTGGTACGATTCTGATGGCTAGTCTGACTGTGAGGAATAAAGGCTCCAGCACCTGAAGACAAAGAATATCCATTTGAAGAAAAGTCCTCACTTTTGAAGGATGTATCCTCTGGGGCATGGGTGTCTGGAAACAGAAATTAAATACCAGTATTTAATTATTAAATCTATTTTTGACTATCACAGGCTTACTCTATTTGTTTTTCTCATAAGAGAGATAAAAGGGGGCTCCAGAAATTAATGACTAATGAAAATGAGGCATCATGATCTTCCTTTCTTTAAAATACGCAGGGTGACTTTTAAGTTCTGTGTCGTAAGACCTGTCAGCCTCAAGACTGGGCACATCAGACCCTGACTGCAGCTTCTTATAGCACTTACCTGGGCAGAGTGATCATCCCAATCTGTTTTATACTCATATTGCATGCATGTTTATTTAGAGGTGAAAAGCAGTGTGAGAAGGCCCATTGCCTTCAAACCATTCTCAACCTGTCAGTTTAAAAGTAGATATTATCAACCTCACTTTTATTTGCCAGAAGTACACATTTCCACCTAGCTAAGATGATATATTCCCCTTTCTTGTAACATCCAAGCACCCTGTGATTGCTTGACACAATTCAATTCACATACAAAAATTTTCTTATGATACAAGGTGGCAGTAATACCCCCATTTTATAGACCATTTTATACACATACTGATTTGTAGGAAAGACCTAAGCTCCTATTGCCATGCTAGAAGAAAGACACTGCTCCAAGAGTCTCTGAGGTATTTGCAGTGAAGACCTCCACAAGAAGCAGACTACACTTTATAATTTCTCCAGAAGTTGATATGTATTCGTTGCAAAACAGGTGGGTGAATGTCATTTAATAGAATTTGGAAGCAGGACAACAGTGTTATGCGACAGAAATTCCATACAAACAATAATCCTAGCAGCTACCTGATTCTACGCAGGTATTATAGAGAGACTTTGGGTGAGCATGCACACTTGGAAAGCCTGGCTAACTGTTGGCATTCAGATTTTTTAATATAAATTTTATATTTGTAATTATTATATATATTAACATTCAGCTGCCACACAGAACATTTAAAAGGGAACATGCTCTCAAGTAGTTCTGACTCTCTCATCTCTTTTTTTATAGAAACAAAAGAGATTTGTTAACTGCACTGGAATTGAAATAAATAACAAAAAATCCATGACTTTTCATTGTCATTTATTTCTCAACTAGGAACTCTTATTTAGAGGGATGGATTTATTTCAGTTTTATTATACATTTAAAGAAGCCTAGTTGGCTGCTGTCTTAATATATATTTTCAAGCCTTAAGACTCCACCAAAAAATGAAGTGAAAAAAAAAAACAACCCGAACCCCAAATCAACAAACCAAAAAACTGTCAATGCTTTAAACAAGAGCACAACTACTTCACTTGAACCACAGGCACCAATTTTTATCCTAATCTGTCAGGCTTGTTAGCAAATTAATATCCTAAATACAGATAATAGACCCCAACCACAAGGTCTGACTTACAGAAAAGCCGTACTCTGTTTTTAGAGAGTGGCCTTCAACAACAAAACATTCGGTTATTACAGATGCCAAAGACGCCCAAACTCTCAGCTGTTTCTGCAGCTCTGGAGGCATTTCCACCCCAGCGAGGAAATGGCCGGTCACCACCACAGAGTCAGTCCCCAACTCACTTCTTCCCTGTTCCCCATGCACTCCCATTCCCGCTCTCCCTGTGCATTTAAACAAACAGCGGATGCAATGTGACAGCTACAAAGCACTTGCAGTGTGCTATGTCATCGTCAGTTCGCTCGCCTGGGCCACAGCTAGAAAATCGTGGAGCATTCACGCAGCGTTCAAAGGATGGGTGGAGGGAGCACAGGGAGGCCGTGGACAGGAGCTCAGTGTCACTGCTAACCTGCAGCACTTGGATTAATCAATGTAACTGCCTGCATTAACTAACCCTACTCCACAATTTCGGCATCAAACATTGATTTTATAACATTCTTTGTCTCCATTTCAGACTACAAGCTCCCAAATGCAACTGCCCAAAACTGTCACGTGCGAGGTACTGCTGGGATACTAGGATAGATAGGCGTGTTAGTAAGCAAGAACAAGGGCGCTACACAAGTCAAACTTTAAAAAGAGATTAAAAAATCAAAGTGGGCCTGCGGATATCTCAAATCTAATCAGCTGCATTTGAAATCAAACTTCAGGTTGTCACTTTTAAAAAACAAATTAAACACCTCCTGAGCATACTTTGCTAGAACCCACCAGTCTTGCACGGAGATCTTAGTGGGGTGGAAAAGCCAAGCGCCACAGAAGTACATGAATAGCAGAAACCAGAAATCTTATTTCTTTTTTAGCAATAGCTCCTTGCAACTGGGACCAAGAAATGTTTTCCTTCCCAAGCCACAGGTTGTTCCCATTAGTCAGCAGACACAAGAATAGTTAAAAAAAGAAAAACAAAACGTAATTACTAGCACAGAATCAGTATTTCAAGTTGCTTTATTACAATAAAGTATCTTTCCCCTTTCTAGTTTGGTTTTCAGGGTAACCACATGCAGATTCTCATACGAAAAAATGAAGCTTGAAATGTTTGTCAGTACCAACACCGCTCAGGTACTACCTTTGAAAACTTATTAGGAACATAAAGTAAATAAGCTAGCATAATCTTTCCATAATTCAATGTCCACAGAAGCTAAAAAATGCAAAATGAAAAGGAGATGGTATATGCAATCAAACCGTTAACCAAGCATTACACTACATGCAGGACAAAAGCACTATTACATCTCTTGTTTCTTTGTTTGAAAGCCCTATGTTCTTCTAGGGGAGGAAGAGCTGGAGGAAAGAATAGTTCTAACAGTAATTTTACAGGCACGCAATTAATTTGTTGCACATTGCTTTTGCCCAATTCCTGTACAATTGTGCTTGCACAAAAATAATTGGTAACATTATGGGAATAATTTTTCTACATATCCTGCTGTCGCTCCTTGCATAGTTCCTCTTGGAAAAGTTCTCTTCAGCAAAAGCTCAGTCTCTGGAAATACAAAATTTATGCTCTCTCAGGCAGCCACACTAAAACCACCTTGTGAACTCTTGGCAGGAGAACAGTCTAACTATCAGTTTCTTATCTGAGCTGTTCAAACAGGTCTGGTGCAAGCCAATGTCAGTCAACAAGTAAGACTCGCTGTTAAAAATCGCACAGCACATGACAGATAGAGAGAAATTTCTGAGTGTGCAGCCCACATGTCATAAAGCTTGGAGTTAGTCAGTTTGCATCTGTGCTTCGGGTTCCCTAACTGAAAGTAGAAAATAATGATTACTATTGCCAATTACTCAGTAACATCACAGTGGTGCTCTGAGGCTTGCCCAACATTTGCTCGGTGTTTCTGCCTGTGCATATATGGTATTCACCAGTATAGTATGGATCCTTTGAATACGCAGACGGCTACAAGGGCATTGTATTTCCATTGCTTTCAGTGATACTATTCAGCATCATGTACAGGAAATTTTCCTTCTTGAATATATCAAGATAGAAGCAGCTTCTTTTTGTTTTAAGCAAAGGAAAACTATGAGGAGTTCTGAATATAATATGAGGGAGTTTCATAAGGGTCGGGATGCTATTCCGACTGGGAAGCTGAGCGCATGCAGGAGCTCACCACACACCTGCCCATCCATCGTCCACAAAGCGAAAAAGCTGCATTTTGAAATTACAGTCCTTGGCTTAAAACATTTTACTAAAAACACAACCCCCAAACATTTTCTGGTCCTACTGAAAAGCCACAGGTGAAAAAGTCATCTACTGTGGGGACTGGTGGCTCTAACTATTATTTACCTCTAGTTATCTTGTAGCTCACAAGTCCTGTTGCAGGTTTCATCGGACAAGCCTCTGTGCTAGGGCAGTAAAACAGGTAGCAGTTTGGATGTGCACTTGTCCTTCGAGCATCAAAAATAATTAAATTACACTTCTTATCTCCTGCAAAACATGATAAATACAAGTTTCAGCAGTAAGAACTTTTATAGCACCTTGATAATGAGCTCTAGTTTGTTAAATTATTTTTTCCTCATGTGAGTAAGAAGAAAACTGCTAACATATAACATTCCTACAGGAAAAGCAACCCAGGACTGCAAAAGAATGGCCCAGGGCCAATATACGGAAGGTCACACCTTCCTTTTCCTGTACAGATAGCTTGGGGAAATAATGAGTCTAATCCCTCATCCTCCCCTCACCCGTACCACACTGGCACCACTTCATGTCATAATTTCTTGCTTGAAAGTCCTGATAAATCTGAAAACCTCCTTGATACGGGGAAGGACATGATTTATACACTTTGCCCTATCACATCCCAGGAACCGCTTGGCTCGTTGCTGCTTGGGGGTTACATTTACCACTGTCATTTGTACTTGCTGCTCTACCTCCTGCTGCTCTCTAAGAGCTTGATGCAAACCAGCGGTCTCAGAGCAGGATAAGCACTTTCATTTTTGGCTAAAATTAAATGTAGCGCAAAACATCAGTTCCTTTGTAGTGCGTCTACTAAACACAGATTAAGCATCTTAGGGTGTGGGGATCTGAGGGGGTTTAACATTTAAAACGACTGCGGTTTCTTTGCTGCAACTATTTGCCTGAGCACTACGGGGTCTTGCGTTGAGATCCAACATCACACCCGGTAAGGAGAGACCCAACGTAACGCTTGGTACCACAGGATAGCAGCCACAAGCCGTTACTGGTCGCAGCGTGAACGAAAGGATAAATTAACGATTCTGTGCTGAATCCAGGGAAGAGCACCGAGCACCACGCGAGCCCAGGCTTCAGAAAGGGACCTCCCGGGTGTTCGCGCGTACTAGCAGGAAAGACCGAGGAGGAGCCGGTTACCTGGGAGCTTCTCCCCCGCGCAGCAGGCGCGGACGCAGGCCTGCGGGGTCGGGGCGTACGCTGGCTCTGCGCCCCGGACGCCCTGGGGCAGGGACAAGTCCATATCGATGATGGTATTTTCCATTTTCTCCGCGGAGCACTCTTGGCCCCGCGACGGGCCGGCCATCGCGCAGGTGATCACCAGCAAGCAC